CATCATTATCATTATTATGTTTGCCCATTTAGTTCTCGTTGGAACACATGCTGCACCAGCATGTCTCCATTCCATTCTCTTGTCTGCATCCTATCAAACTAGCCCCACCACTGCTCACAAGCTTTCATTTCTAACAAACACGATCTCCTCCATGTCACCCACCCTCCAAAGCCCAACTCGTCATTTACCATGAGGGCTCCACTCGACAGAATGGTCTGGTGCGTGATATCCCCAATCGGTCTTCTCAGTGTATGTCCAATCCAATCCAATCGATCTCCACTCTCTTCCACTGCATATTTGTTGAGTGACAGCTTCTTGGTTGGTTCGTTGTCCAGTCAGAGTGAGTTCCTTGTTGTTTATTCTTGTTTTTATTATTCTGGCCATCTCATCGATCTTCAGTGTCAGTATCGAGGGAGCGTAGGCGGCAGCTGTTCATGTATGTCTGTAGTTTGTTGGAAATGCTTTTCGTGACGCGTCAGGTCTCTCAACTATCACATAGAAGCACTGAATTACTTGAATGAATTAGTGTTTGAAATCTGAGTCTTGTTCATGCTTTATGCTGAGTATAGTGAAGTGGAGTGCAGTGCAGTGCAGTAGATTTCCACACTGCTTTCAAATTAACGAAGGCCTGTCTTGCTGTCTTTCCGACCCTGGTTTTGGCGTCTTCATCTGTGCTGCCACCTGTAGTTGGAACGCTGCTACCTAAGCAGGTAGGTGAAGGAGACAACTTCCTTCAGGTTTCTCCCATTCATGGTGGTTGACGCTTGTTGTTGCTGTTGCTGTTGGTGGTGATGGTGTTGGTGTTGGTTGGGTATCTTCATCACCTCTGTCTTCTCTACCTTCACCTGAAGGAAGTCCCATCTTCACTGAGCTGCGCTGCGCTACGCTGAGGTGCCTCTCCTGCCAACTTGTTGGTTTTCGCCTGTAGATCTTCGAGCTTGTGTGACATTAGACATAAATCATCATCATCATCATCATCGGCGGCGGCGGCGAAATTCAAGTCATCTAGGCTCTTTTTATCGGTCCAGACAGCGTATGACCCTCTTCTCGATCCTCGCAGTTGTCTGATGCACGATTCAGTCCAGTCCGGTCCGGTCCGGTCCGGTCCGGTCCGGTCCCATCGACCACAATCAGGAAGACGATCGGTGATAGTAGGCGCCAACCTTGTCCTACTCCCGTCTTTACTTCACTTCAAAGACGCCACTGATCTTCCCATTGTGAATCACTTGGCATGTAGCCTCATCATATAGCATAGCATATAGGTGTTGAATGAGGTTGATAAAGGATTGTGGCACTGAAAGCGTGGTGTTGAAGCAGCTGCCTGCCAAATTACTTCTCAGTCGACGCTATCGAAGGCCTTTTCAAAGTCGATGAAGTTGAGGTAAGGTAAAGAGTTGACTGCCATTCCATACTCTGTTCTACGATGATGCGTGGCGTAGCGTTGCAATTTGATCCACACATGATTTTTTCATCCTGAAGCCAGCAAACCTGTTCCAGTCATAAATTTGAATCCAGTGCATTTTTTAGTCTCTCCAGGATGATACGGCCTAATATTTTGCTCGGAGTGGACAGGGACAGGAGCATGATTCTGCGCCAGTTCTTGCAAACACTTAGTGCGCCCTTCTTTGGGAGTCCGCTGATAAGGTAGCCCTTCTTCCAATCAGTAGGCAGGTAACTTTCCTCCCTCCCTCCCTTCCTTCCAAACCTTCTGTAATAGTGGTGTGGTGTCAGCATGTCCGCTGTTGTCTCTGCGTCTGTTTTCAGTGCTTCTGAAGGAATCCCACCTGGTCCTGTTGCTTTCCTAGATGTCAGCAACTTTATGTCCTTCAGGACTTCACTTCTACTTTTGTTGGAGGGCTTGTGTTCACTGATGGTTGTGTGACTGGGCTGTTGGTGGTATTTCTGGACGGGTTGCAGGTGCTGGTGCTGGTTGATTGAAGAGTTTTTTGAAGTGGTCAGACCATCGTTTCCTTCGTTTCTCCTCTTTGGCAACCAAGTTTCCTTCACTATCTTTCATTGGTTTCATCTGTGTTGTGTTGATCTCTTCCCTCCCAGACAGTAAGTAACCTGGTTATTTGATATAGTGTTGCCAGGTCTCTGTCTCTCCAACCAGCAGCCTATTCTGCTTCAGTTGCAAGTGTGTCGTAGAAGTGTCTTTTGTCTTTGTACTCACTCTTCCTTCCACGTTCAGTTTCCGTTCTGGGTGTTGAACTTGAACTATGGTCTATCATCAGCTTCTTCTTCGAAGGCTTTCAACTTGATTTTGAAGGTAGGTTCCTTGCACTAGATGGTGAGTGGTGCGAACCTACATCTGCTCTCCTTCTTGATCTGATGTTGTGTCCAGTAGGCTGCGTCTCCACTTTCTTCACATTGAGATGAAGTCGATCTGATGTTTTGTGTACCCATCTGGCGAAATCAAATCCATGTCACTTTGTGAATATCCTTGTGTTTGTGCACAGTGCCTCCAATCAGCAAACCGTTGAGTGCGCAGAAGTCTGCAAACAGTTCTCCATTCTCGTTGATTTCACCGAGTGCTTCTCGACTCATGATTGGTTCTCTTCCTGCGTTGTCCGCTCGCATTTCGTCATTCATGTCACCCCACCCATTAGAATTTTGATGTCTCCAACTGGCGTGGGGTCTTGCCCAGTACTGATTACAGTTGTCTGTAGAACTCCTCCTTCTTATCTTGATGTGCATTACTTGTAGATGCATAGCGTAGCATTGTATGATTGTGACTTTCCTTCCTTTTGAGCTGAATCTTGCTGTCCTGGTCCTGCAAGAGGAGATTGGTTCCCACTTCATGAGAGCCTTCGATGCTCTTGGGGACATCATGATAGCCACTTCAAAACTCAGTGCCCGTGGTTGTCGTCTGGGTGACAATATCGGAGTAGATTATTGACTCTCCAGTTGACAGTTTGGAGAGTCCACTTCCATTCCATCTGCCTTTGCAGATTCCTAGTACTTCTAGTATTCCTAGTATCACCTCATCTCATTGGGAATTCGGGCAGCCTTGCCAGCCAGCTTCAAACATTGTTCGGATATTCCATGTCCCCATTCTTACTTTCCCTTCCATCGAGAGAAGATACATCGACCGATTGGCTTCCTGAAGGCTTCCACCGACCGGCGTCATTCCATCTCCCCGATTCCAGCGAGGAGTAAGTTTAATTTTATCTTTTCTTTGTGCTTTGAAGTTTCTTTAGCGGTTGGATTGGTTTACGGTATAGGGTTCCTAGCCCTATGCCTAACCTTCCCTCTTTGTCTGGGCTTAGGACCGTCTAGTAGCTAGTGAACTAGCTAACTGGGCGATGTTCCTCTTATCCTGGTTTTAGGCAATACGCGAAGGGAGCCAATCAATGTCGACTGTGCAGAACTTACAAATATCGCCCTGTTAACTGTGCAGTGTACCAAATTGTGGTGGACAGTAGCGAAGAGATAACAGCCATGCGAGCAGTTATTATTTGTAACGTTGTCATTACTATTTTGTGTTACAACTCATACCTTTTCATATTTCTGTATCGGTGAATCTATTTTTGTAAATTATGCGTAGCCTATCATCTTGGTTTACTTGAGATTGCCTTGCGCCCACTGCAATCCGTAGCCTAATGCCTAATTTAACAATTACTTCACGACTGCTCACATTATGGGCAAGACAGAAGCCATAGCATCCATCGAACTTCTGTAAAATAGCGCTATTAGCACTTTATGCTACACTTTTCATCCTGTTGGTACGCATCCTGTGTGGATCAAG